TTTGAGTGGGGTTATCTATTTAAAAATAACCACATTTTTATTACTTATGGTAGATACATCAGATGTTCATAGTTCATTCAATAAATAAAAAAAAACAAGTGAAAGGATATGATCTTCAGATGTGCAATAAGCTGTAATTTTTTAATGGGGTTGCCACCTATTTAAAATTTACTAACTTACATATATAGCATTCGCACATTTATTTAAACCAAACGCAAATCAATTTAACCCAAACGCAAATTAAATTAAACTAAACGCAAATTAATTTAACCCAAACGCAAATTAAATTATACCAAACGCAAATTAATATAACCCAAACGCAAATTAATTTAACCCAAACGCACATTAATTTCACCCAAACGCAAATTAAATGAAACCAAACGCAAATTAAATGAAACCAAAGGCAAATTTTATTAATCCACATAGAAATTGAACGCAACACAGCAAAAAGGTAACTATTACTATTATATGGGGTTTACTTGAGGCGATTTTAGAGGTGATTAGTGTAATCAAAAGTTTGCTGCCACCCAAATTCATTAGAAGCGATTAGTGAAAAGGCCGTTCACACCAAACTATTATTGCTTCCACCTAAAAGTTGCCTATGGAATCGCTTTTTGTAAAAGCCATATTAGATTTAAGCCAAAGTTTGAAGAGGCGGCTTTTGGTATTAAAAGAATCATGTATGTAATGTAGTTGGTACAATCGGTGGCCGTTATACGACTTACACTTATATATATATTTCTCGCAGGCATCTTTGCATAAAGAAACAAAGCAGAACAGCCACTCGCGATGTTGATCCGTTGCTGTTCCGCCAACGATGTCTGAAGTGAGCATAAGCAATTGTTCTATGGCGTGCCCACCATTGCTATGATTCAAACTACAACTACTAATCTATAGTGGCAATGATAGTTTTTGGTTTAATTTAATTTGCGTTTGGGTGAAATTAATTTGCGTTTGGATGAAATCAATTTGCGTTTGGGTTAAATTATTTTGCGTTTGTGTTAAATTAATTTGCGTTTGGTTTAATTTAATTTGCGTTTGGGTTAAATTGATTTGCGTTTGGTTTAAATAAATGTGCGAATGCTATAGTACGTGGAATTCATTTTTTATTAATTACATCAGATTTGCGCAGTTCGGTCATTTAAAACGAATTAGGTCTCAAAGGAAACAGCTTGGCGTTCAGATGTGCAATAAGGTTTTATATTTTCGAAGAGAGTTACCGCCTGCACGAAAAATAATAAGATGTGGGCTGTTCGTTGGACTAAATAGTGAGTCGTTAAGTGAGAGGACTTGGCCTCCAGATGTGGAATACGGCTTTATTTTCTTTGAATAGAGTTGCCGCCCCAATAAAAAA